TGATTTACATGTTTCCTAACTGTTCCCTGGCAATAGCTAAGCTTAAGCAAATAACCACTCCAGTATTCTTGCCTGGAAAGTCTCCATGGACAGAGGAGCCTGACGAGCTATACAGTCCATGAGGTTGCAAAGAGTCAGACACGACTGAGCGACTAAGCACACATACACAAGCAAATATCAAGTGTAAGAGCAGAGAATACACCAAGAGCAAAGTGTAAATGTAACACTGATGGGGCGGGTGTCTTCATGACCTCTTCACTGTGTTCAGTCCCTCTTTTCTGCCCTTGGACCCTCCCTCCCCCACCTGGCACGATGTAGGCCCAACTTGATCCATGCAAACATCCTCCCACAGATCTTCCTTAGAAGACCTACTTTCCTTACGCTGCCTGGTGCTGCTTGAGGTTTGAAACCACTCCCTCCCACCACCAACCTCTTCCCCAACACTCCATTCAGCAACAACCCAAATCCTCACTCTACAGGAAAGAAACAGCCAGAAGTCAGATAGTCCTCCAGTCTTCTGAGCCTGAAACCGTGCATGATGATTAATCAAGTCCATTCCACCTGCCTCCGCTGATCCAGAGCGCTTTCACAATCGCGTGTCCTCCAAGCAGCTCGTTATCCGAACAGTAAGATCTTTGCCTGAGTTGTTTTCTAGAAATTTGGAGTTGCAGCTGAGCCAGTTAAAATGGATAGGCCAGCAACCCTCCAGCTGGACCCCTGCAGAGGCTGGTAGCTTAGTTACATCTGCACAATGATTCCAAAACTTTTTCCAATCACTGTGCATCAGCAAAACAAAGTTGATTTGGTAAGACAACCATCTAATTCCCGTTCATGAGTGCTCTCTTTACACGGGCCCATCTATAGATCTAGTCCCATCTACTGACACATTCTGCATTTGACAGCACATATAAAACAACACTGGAGTGCAGGTACCCTTCTCAAGAAACCACTTAATATCTGCTTATATGTCTTTTTGTATTCTGTTTGGATGTCTTATTGCTGTGGCTCTCAGACTGTTTATCTGCTACAGACTAAGAAAGTTCCAGAAAAACATCTACTTTATTGACTATACCAAAGCCTTTGACTGTATGGATAACTACACACTGTGGAAAATTCTTCAAGAGATGGGAATACCAGACAACCTTACCTGCCTCCTGAGAAGTCTTTATGCAGGTCAAGAAGCAACAGCTAGAATCTGACATGGAACAAGGAACTGGTTCCAAGTTGGGAAAGGAGTATGTCAAGGCTGTATATTGTCACCCTACTTATTTAATTTATATGCAGAGTATATCATGCAAAATGCCAGACTGGATGAAGCACAAGCTGGAATCATAATCACAAGGAGAAATATCAATAACCTCAGATATGCAGATGACACCACCCTTATGGCAGAAAGCAAAGAGGAACTAAAGAGCCTCTTGATGAAAATGAAATAGGAGAGTAGAAAGTGAAATAGGAGAGTAGGCTTAAAACTCAACATTCAAAAAACTAACATCATGGCATCCAGACCCATCACTTCATGGCTTCCAGACCCATAACTTCATAGCAAATAGATGGAGAAAAAGGGAAACCGTGACAGACTTCATTTTCTTGGGCTCCAAAATCACTACAGATGGTGACTGCAATCATGAAATTAAAAGGCACTTGTTCCTTGGAAGAATAGCTATGACCAACCTAGACAGCATATTAAAAAGCAGAGGCATTGCTGACAAAGTTCTGTCTAGCCAAAGTTATGGTTTTTCTAGTAGTCATGTACAGATGTGAAAGGTGGACCATAAAGAAAGCTGAGCACCGAAGAATGAATGCTTTTGAACTGTGGTGTTGGAGAAGACTCTTGAGAGTCCCTTGGACTGCAAGGAGATCAAACCAGCCCATCCTAAAGGAGAGATCAGTCCTGGGTGTTCATTGGAAGGACTGATGCTGAAGCTGAAACTCCAATACTTTGGCCACCTGATGCGAAGAGCTGACTCATTGGAAAAGACCCTGATGCTGGGAAAGATTGAAGGCAGGAGAAGGGGACAACAGAGGATGAGATGGTTGGATGGCATCACTGACTTGAAGGACATGAGTTTGAGCAGCTCTGGGAGTTGGTGATGGACAGGGAAGCCTGGCGCGCTGCCATCCATGGGTTGCAAAGAGTTGGGTACGACTGAAGGACTGAACTGAACTAAAGCCTGTGGACCAGACTGCTTATAAGAGAGCAAATGACCCATTGATAGATAAAAAGCCAGAACCAGAAGGGAAAAAGTGGGTGCTTGGAAGAAGCCCTTCTAAAGGAGAAACAATTGCCCCAGGTCTTAAGATAGCACTGGCCAGTGAGGCAGTAAGAGAGAAGGCATTATCCATAGCAGAGCGATTCAGAGCATGGCTTTGGAGTCAGCCATATTGGGTCCAATTCCAGGCTCTGTTGTTTATGATGGTAAAAGCTAGGAGATCACTTAACCTCTCAAGCCTCAGATTTCTTATCTGTAAAACAGGGATAATGCCAACGGTGGCAAAGACTAATTGGATATTCTCAAAGCCTTTTCCTCTTCTTGCTGAGCACACACCCAGATTATATTTCTTAGTTTTCTTCAAAGATATGCCGGCCCAGGATTTCCCTGGTGGTCTAGTAGCTAGACTCCAAGTTCCCAATGTAGGGGCCCTGGGTACAATCTCTGGTCAGGGAACTAGATCCCAGATGCTGCAACTAAGAGTTCATACACCAGAACTAAAAGTTCCCGTATGCTGCAACTAAGACTTAAGATCCCAAGTGCCACAACTAAGATCCAACACAGTCAAATAACTATATATTTTTTTAAATAGCCAGTCCTGAACCCCAAAAAAACTCTCATACTTTTATCCACACTCTCTTTCCTCAATTTCTGGCCAAATGTGGAAGAGCTAATGAAGGACTTTGAAGGTTTAGAGAACCATGGAACCACTAAATGACTTCATGGCCTCCTAATAAAACCATACTGGACAAAGCCACAAAGAGTAAGAAAAAGACTTTTTATAATATTTAAGCCACTGAAATTTTGTTTGTTATACCAATTGCAGTTTTGATCCCTAGGTTGGGAATATCTCCTGGAGAAGGAAATGGCAAACCATTCCAGTACTCTTGCCTGGGAAATCCCATGGACAGAGGAACTTGGTGGGCTACAGTCCATGGGGTCACAAAGAGTGGGACACAACTTAACCACTAATAGACAACAACAAATTTTAGCAATTAGCCTATCCTGAATAAAATAGACATTGGTTCCTAAAAGTGAGGTAGTATTGTAGCAAGGGCTTCCCTGGTGGCTCAGAGGTTAAAGCGTCTGCCTGCAATGCAGGAGACCCAGGTTCAATCCCTGCGTCGGGAAGATCCCCTGGAGAAGGAAATGGCAACCCACTCCAGTATTCTTGCCTGGAGAACCCCATGGATGGTGGAGCCTGGTAGGCTACAGTCCACAGGGTCGCAAAGAGTCGGACATGACTGAGCAACTTCACTTTCACTTTCACTCACTGTAGCAAATAGCTAAAATAAAATCCATGGCATTGGCTTAGCAGCTGGACAGAGAAATGAAGAAGCTGATTTCAGGAGCTGGAATCATGGTGACCCACGCTTTGCTTTAATAAAATATTGGATGCACGTGCAATTAAAAAGCCTGATCAGTCTGCTGAAAATATAGAACTAAGTCAGTCTGGTAAGTTAACAGGATAAAAGGTGTGACAAACCCAAACAGCCTTAATTGGAGTCCAGGAAGGAGAGAAAAGTGTCAGGCAGGAGAAATATTTAGAGACAGAGGTAATGAATCTTCCAAAATTTATGAAAACCTCAACTTTTAGAATCAAAAATCTCGTGCAGGGCTTCCCTGGTAGCTCAGTAGTAAAGAACCTGCCTGCTAATGCAGGGGACATGGGCTTGATCCCTGGGAAGATCCCACATTTCAAGGAACAATAAGCCCATGTACCAACTAACAACTATTGAGCCTGTGCTCTAGAGCCTGGGAACCGCAACTGCTGAGCCCATGCACTGCAACTATTGAAGCCTGAGCACCCTAGAGCCCATGTTCCACGACAAGAGAAGCCACCGCAATGAGAAGCCTAGGCACCACAACTAGACAGTAGTCCGTGCTGCAACAAAAACCCAGCACAGCCAAAACTAAGTAAATAAATAACTTATTTTAAAAAAAGAATCTCATGCATACAACAAGCATAGAGCTGAAAGATATTTCTCAGCCTCCCACAATCTTCCTGGTCAATCAACTGTGGATGGAACATGTGCCACCTCCAGGCCCCTGTCTAGTCTAGGGTAAGATATGCTATGATCACAACAAACCCAAAATCTCAGAGGCTTTCTCACTTACACAGTCTGCTGCAGATTCAGACACCCTCCAGGGAACCCATTCTCCACATACTGACTTAGCATTTCAGCATGCTTCAGTCTTAGGAAGCCTCCAAATAGAAAAATTATGACTGGCAGCGGAGGAGGGGGCAGTATAGAATATGGAGGGGTGTGCACTGGTTCTTAAATGTTTCCACCAGGAAATGACATGTCACCTTGCCATGGTTAAAGCTCTGGTGTCACCTGACACCCACCTTCAAACAGGCCCGGAAATAGTCCTTCTACATACCCAGAAGGAAAGGAAACGGAAAATTGGTACCTGGTAGCCTCATCTACCACATCCCCTAAAACACGTTCTGTTTGAGCCTCTATGTTCCAAGGCCCTGGATGCAGCAATGCTTTTCCCTATGGTTGACCTGCAATAGTCTGCGGTGTGAGCCACAAAGGAATCTTTACTCGGGTAAGGCTCTGAAATGCAGGTATTACAGAAGCTAGCATATTCCAATCCCCTACTCAACTTACATCATAGTAGAAAAAGATAATAACTTTTCATTAAGCACTTACTATGTGTGTGAAGTGCCTCACACAATGCCTGGCCTTATTATAAGCTCTTAATTAGCGTTCATTGTTATTATTCCAATTTTGTCTTAGATGTGTATGTCTTTGTTCATATGGATTCTGTGCTTTAAAAGATGCTAATCGACATTGCAAGGTGGTCGAGCATCTTATCTCTTTCTCTAAAACATCTGCAAGTTTTCATACTTTCTGTGGGCAGCTGGACTAGCAGTGCAGATTTCCGAGATCAGAGGTGGCATAGTATAGAGGGAAGAAGCATGTCAACTAGGAGTCAAGATCAGTTCAGCACATTTATTGGGCTCCTTTAGTATGCACCAGGCTCTAGAGAAACAAAGGAGCATGAGAGTGAATCCCCACCCTCTAGGGGCTTACACTTCTGCGTCTATGGTGAACAAGGGAACAAATAAAGCATGATGTGTGCAATAAGAGGATCAACAAGCAAGAGGGGAGCCACAGACCTGAAGTCTAGCTCTGCCACTAGATGCGCGACCTTGGACATGTTATTTAACCCTCTCTGGGCCTCATGGATAGTGAGAATAGGGTCGATCATTTTTTATCCCTGAAATTCTAACATCTACGGTTCTCATAATCCTGTGAGGTAGGCCAGGCAGGCACAATTTCTACTTTATTAGAAGTAAAGCCTGGGGTCTGGGAGGTTGAGCACAGCAGTCTGAGCTGCTCATCGGTAGAGACAGTCCCATACTAGACTCCAGCAGATCTCCAGAGCCAAGAGGAAGCACGTCCCCTCCAGGCTGAGAGCGTATCTCTGATGGGTATGGCAGGAAGTTTGCCGGATGCCCCCCTGTGTGAACCTCCTCCTTGCTCCCAGTTTGAAGTTCTTCACCCCCTCCTGGTGTAAGTACACAGCTGACAGTGGACATTTCTGAAAACCAAGTGGTCTTTCACACACAGAACAGAGCGACATTAGCATAATTATCCTGGAGATCACAGGAATCTTCGGCAGCCAAGCCCAGTCACTGCTGGAAGCCCTCCCTGGGTCTGGTCTCTTGGTCCTCTGTGAATGATGCAAAGAACATCTTAGAAGTGGAGGGACTTCTCCCTCTGGCTCACGTGCTCCAGGACACCCCCACTCAGGCCACCCAGTATGTACTTGCTTAAGGAATGTGAGTGAGCTCACTTAACTGAAGCAAAACAAATTAAAGATCTCATCTTGGCCGGATCTCTAAAATCATGGCACGCCCACCAAAGCCTAAAAGACAAGTCTCTGACAGACAGCCGGCCACTGCTGTCTGCCCCAATGGCAACGGGTGAAGAGATGACACTCGCCAGCAATCTCATTGTCACCACTAACAATTTTTTTGAGCATATGTTACGTGTGCTACAAAGAGCCAGCAGCACATAATCCCTGCTACTCAGAGGCTTGTAATCAGACAAGAGCGGTCAGATGAGTGAAGAGATGCGTCACATATGAGAAGTTCCACACTCGGCCACGTGAGAGGCTCAGTTTTTGGTGTCGCAGGTGTTGGGGGAGGGCGTGGTCACCGCGGGCGGCTGCCGACCCGGAAGCAGTCCCAGGGAGCGCGAGCTGGACCTTGAAGCGAGAGAAGGGCAGTAGTCAGTATTTGCGTCACTCACGCTCTATGGGAAATTCCGCCTGAAAACCATATGAAGGCGATAAAAGTGCGCAGGGGAAAAAAATCGCCGAGGGGCACCCCACGTCCTCTCCCAAGATGGCTCCTTTGGCTCCTTCTCTCCCCCACCCCCTAGGCTTGTGACGTAGATACAGCAAGCCCCTTAACCTCCCTGAACCTGCTTCTTCATCTGTTAAGGCTGTGGGAGAATTTACTAAGCAATCACCAGTGAACCTGCCAACACAGCAACGAACCTTACCCCTCAGTGTGTCCTGCTAATAAAATCCCTCCTCGCGCCATCTTCACAGCCAACGTCTGAGGGTGGCCTAGCGGGCGAGCTCCAGCCTTCCCGCCCCCTCAGAGAACAGCGCTGCGGTGTGGCTTCAAATCCACCCAGGCTCCCAGCTAAGCACACTCTCAACTCTAGGCGAGTCGCCTCAGAAGGGAAAATCTTCCAAAGGGGTTGAGGAGTGGGGCTGGAGGGTGGTCCTTTGGGGCTGAAGGGTGCTCCTTTGGACCTTGCCCCCTACACTTCTCTATAGCCTGAAGTGNGTTTCCTTCCTGGGTAGGAAAAGATAAGAAAACTCTGAAAACATCCATGACCTTGGGTCAGAGTTCCTTTTGTTGTTATTCAGTCGCTCAGTCCTATTTGACCCTTTACGACCCCATGGATTGCAGCTCCTCCGGCTTCCGTGTCCACTATCTCCCTGAGTTTGCTGAAACTTATGTCCATTGAGTCAGTGATGCCATCAAACCATCTCATCCTCTGTTGCCCTCTTCTCCTCTTGTCCTCAATCTTTCCTGCAAGAGAGTCTTTCCCAGTGAATCAGCTCTTCAAATCAGGTGGCCAAGGTTTTGGAGCTTCAGCATCAGTCCTTCCAATGAAAATTCAGGGTTGATTTTCTTTAGGATTGACTGGTTTTGTTGATCTCTTTTAGCTTTAGAGTTCCTTTAGCTTTGCTGAACTGATTTAGAATTGTTGAGCCGCCCCAGGACAAACCCAAGGTTTGGAGAGCTCACCTGCCAGTGTGCCCTGAGGCAGCAGGCTGTGGAGCTGAATGAAAGATAAGATCCCGAGGGCCTGGGTTCCTATTCCCTGCCCTCCCACAGTGCTTCCTCCGCGCCCCCTCATGGCTCCCTTCTTCCCACTTAAACCCACAGAACAGGATGAGGACACAGCCCTGCTCCTCACCTTGGGCCCAGCCCAGGTATAGTTGGGTCACCTGTGGCAGCATAACCCACCTCAGGTCCTTTTTAAGAGACTTAAATGAGGTAAGACTAGCATCACTGACTCAATGGACCTGAGTTTGAGCAAACTCTGGGAGATAGTGGAGGAAAGAGGAGCCTAGTGTGCTGCAGTCTGTGGGGTCGCAAAGAGTCAGACACAACTTGGCGACTGAACAGCAACAACAAAGGCTTTGATGGGAAAACCATCTTTGATGGGAAGATACTGGTGAGAACCCCAGACCTGTGTATGACTGAGAACAGGTGTGAGTGTGAGACACCCCCCCACTCACCCTTCAGCCCCTGCCCAACCCAAGCAGCAGCAGCAGCAACTGACCACTTCCTCAGTCCTCAGCCCCTCAAAACACTTCCCCACAGGGGCTGGGAAGGCGGTGGGCTTCAGCCAACCCCCCACAGGCCACCGCCACCACACATCATTCCTTTAACCTCTTCATTGCACAGTCAGATTCCATACTGGCTTCCCCATGAAGATAAAATATGAAACCACAAAATACCCATATTTTACTAAATACCTGGAAAGCTTTCAGAAGAGTCCACAAAACCGAAGCTGACAGTTGTGTCTGAAAACTGACAGTATAAGGAGTGACCGGAGCAGAGCAGGATGTGTTTCCCTCTGAGCTGATTTCTCAGAAAATGGGGCAGGACCCAGATTCACAGACGCACCTCCTAGGCAGCTCCCACATGTATCTCACCCGGCCATGGGCTGGGAAGGCCCAGGCCCCCCGACCGCTTGCTCTGGGCTCCAGGTGCGTGGCTGGAGAAGGTGGCACTTGCAGCCGCTGCAGGCCCAGGGGAACCACCAGCCTCTGGCCCATCCCCCCTTCCTTCCCTGCAGACCAAGGAGGGACAGGAAGGGGCCCTCGGACCTGCACAAACTCTTAACCAACCCAACATGCACATCATCTCCTCTCATCCTCCCACCTCCTTCACTCTGTCCTCTCCTACGGCAGAATAAGCATCCCTCGGCCATGTTCCAGAATGTTCTGGTGCTCCCCAAGCTGGTCCCTCTGCTCCCTGTGTGCTCACTTGGGGGATAAAGCTGTTGATCCCCCTGCCTGGTGTGGTGTCTGGCACATGATAGGTGTGAATAAATGTTTGTCATGTTGAGTCGAATGGTAATGATGACGCCAGATGGAGCACACCCCTCAGACATCTAAGAATAACGCAGTGGCCTGGCAACATTAAACGGTGCCCTGAGGCCACAGAGTGTGTTTTTTGGCCTTGGTTCCTTCACGTGTTGCCTGCCACACCGGTGCCTCTTGGTGGTCCCTCCCTAGACAGGCACCCCGAGCCATGCCCCCCTCCCTCAAGCCACGATCATGGAACAAACGGCAGCCGACTTCTCTGGACGCCAGTCATCTCTTTATTCCACCGGTGACCAACAGAGCAGCACCACGGACCCAGCAGGGGCCTGCCTGAGACCCTGGGCAAGGCCAGAGGGGTGGATGCAGGGGCCAGATGAGGGGCTGCCCTTCCTGCCTCCCCAGGAGCCAGGAGAGAGATGCCTGGGGAGGGGTTCCGCGTGTGCAGACAGTACGGCAGTCTGTCAGCCCCCAGCCTTCCTCAGAGCACCAGGGCCTCCAGAGGAAGGAATGCTCCAGGGTGGGGCCAGGGAGAGACCTCCTGGGCTGACGAAGGGTAGACTGTGAACTTGAGCGGGCGTTGTGTGCACGCGTGTGCATGAGCAAGTGCGTCGGTGTGCGTGTGTGTCTGGGGACACGTGCCTACGTACTACTGAGCTTGTGGGAGTTGATTGCTGAGCCACAGGGCCTGCCTGGGGCCAAGGAGACCAGGGACCAGGATTCGGGGGCTGGAGGAGAGCACCCAGGGGCAGAGAGCATCCTCCTCGCTGCTTCGCCTTGGAGCGGAGCCCCGGGCCAGCAGGTCTCAGAGCCTGGTTGCAGGGTGGCCTCTGGCATGACCCACCTCATGTGTAGGCCATCTTGCTGCACACCCAGGGCCGGGTCATCAGGCAGTCTGTCGACACCAGCCTGGTGGGCTCCACGAAGACGCACTCCCCCGGGCCCGCGATGGGGAACCTGTGGCCAGGAGAGAGGAGACCAGGCACTCACTGCTGGCAGATGCCACCCGTTGCTGGGCAGCCCCAGAGGCCCTGTGACTCATCCTTCCCTCTGGAGCTGCCCTGCTCTGGGACAGTCCACCCTACAGACCTTGCTAGCGTGGCTCCCACTATCTCCCAAGTCTGTACCACAGCTCCAATCGCCCTGGTGATGCCCACAGATGTATCTGGATGCACCCTATGCTCCCATCTGGCTTCCCCATCCTGCCAGGCTCGGCTCACTCGTCCCAGGAGACTGGGGCCCTGTCTAGGACAAGCCTCCCCTGACCCCACCTGCCCACGGCACCCTGCCTGCACCTCTTACAGCTATTAATAGCACAGGGGGTTCTCCCTGCCTAAAATCATCCCTTTTGAAGCTCAACATTTCTTCTTAAACTCATTTGGTCACCCTGACCTGAGCCCCCCACCACCAAGGCCAGGACGAGGTTCTCAGAGGGCATCAGAAGGACCCCAAGAGGGAGTGGGGAGGCCAGAACCACCTCAGAGTGGTCAGAGAAGCGTGGCCCCAAGGCCTGCTGGTTGCTGGGTGGTCAACATCCTGGGGCCTCCAGCCTCCAGGGCTTCCAGGGTTCTAGGAGCAAGAAGCTTTGAGAAGGGGAGAGGCGGGGGCAGCAGCAAGGCAAGACTTTCTCAGCTGCTTTGAGAACAGATTGGGGGATGAGGTCAGGACAAGGAAAGAGGAGCAAAAAGGAAGGGGCAGTGAGGACAAAGAGAGGCACGGAATGAGAGCTCAGGAGACAGGGAGATGTGGGAATAGGGAAGTCTTCATGGCCCAAGGGTCATATCAGGTCAGCAGCTGCGCCCCCACCCAACTCCTCGGGCCTAGTCCTCCAGCCTTAGGGTCTAGATCAGAGGCTGAGGTTCTTACGCCCCGTGTGCGCTGACCTGTGTCTCCCTAAGCCTAAAGTGCCCCCCTTCTCTGCTGCCACCATCACCCCACACACCCACCACACAGATCACACCCTCACTGCCACACCACATGGGCCACACAAATAATACCACCTTGGCACATGCCACCAACACCCTCAAGGTGTTTTCTCTAAGAGGACCCTCCTGGGACCTGTAGTTCAGACCCCCTTTCTCCGTAGTAAAACTGTCCAGGTGGCCCGTGACTGCCCAGCATAGAGGTCCCATTTCCTCCCCTCTCACTGTCAGGCGGGGCCATGTGGCTAAGTTCTGCCCAGTGCAGAGGGCTGTCCTGGGATATCCTCCCCTTTCTCTGAGCCACACTGAGTCACGCAGAGCAACGAGGGAGTCACAAGATGGAAAAGAGCCTGGGCCCCTTCCAGCAGCAGGAAGCTCCGACGCCTACATGGAACAGGGCCACCAAACCAGGCTGGACTTTACTGGGGAGAGAGTAGTAAAGCCATTCCCATGCCCGGGCCTCTGTCCCTCACCCCTGACCCTACAGGTGAGTGGCTCTAGCTAACACAAAACCAAGTTGTCCCTCAGGAGGTTCGTCTGGGAGGCTAGGTCTTCCCCGGTCTAAGCTCGGTGGTCAGAAGATGAAGCCTCGGCTCACGTGTCCGGGTCAAACGGGTCCCCGTTGACCCAGTGGAATTCGTCCCCCACTCTGCGCAGGCCAATCCAGGGCTCCCTCCGTGTGAACTTGAACATGAATTCCTGCGCCAAGGAAAGAGGGAAACCTCAGAGTCAGGTGCGGCCTCCTGACTGCTCACACACCCCCAGATGAACTTTAACTTGGAAGACTGGCTCTCAAGATGCGTGGACACCGTAAGGGTGACACCTCACCACACCCCAGGAGTGAGGAGCTGGGTTTACAGATGCACTGCAATGGCCTTCAAGGAACATGGACTCTGGGGAGGCGCCAATGGGGCAGGAACCCTGGAACAGGGTTTGTCTCCTAGCTTGGGGACCCAGCATGCCAACATTCCTGATTTTTAGGAAGCCTGGGATTGCTTGATGGGTTATCTGGGACTGGCTGTCCTGGGCCTTTCTCTGCAGAAAGGGGCTATCAGACTGTGTATCAGAGACAAACAGAAGTGATTTTAGATTTTGAATTGCACGAACCTGCAAAATCCAAAAATGGCCAAGAGACCTATTCATTGTGTTACATTCATATTTCTAGTGATATGACTATTTGGGGTGTTAGGTGGGACCTCAGACCCTGATTTGGACTAGTTGAGGATGCCAATTTGATACACTGGAGTGGGTTGCCATGCCCTCTTCCAGGGGATCTTTCCAACCCAGGGATGGAGCCCAGGTCTCCCGCATGGCAGGCGGGTTCTTTACTGGCTGAGCCACCAGGGAAACCCTCACATTTCACAAGTGCCTGTATAATTTGTAATGCTTACAGTTGATCGTTTTGACCTCAGCAAACCAGCCTTGGATGGACGCAGCTGGCCTTGACAAGAGCAGTAAGAACAAGAGCCCCTCGTGGAGCTGCTCAGACCCCATTTGTGGAGCCCACGTGCACACCCCACCTGTCTGGAAACAGGTCACAGGGGACACCAGGTCCTTGGGCGTGGCTCTCCCGCATGGCCCCGCCCCTTTCACCAGCTCGCCCAGACCCCGCCCCGACATGCTCCTCGCCCCGGGCACTCACCAGCTCTTTCTGACTCTGGATCACAGCAAGTGCCGCCTCGTGGCTGTGGCAGTACTGCCGGCCCGTGTTCCAGTCTCTCGGTTCCTCTGAGAAGAAGTAGCATTTCCTTCCGTATAGCAGCCAGTCCTCTGGGCAGGGCGCTTCGCACTTGATGCAGCCCTTGGAGGCTGCAGGGAAAAGGAGGGACTCAGTATCTGCCAGCATGGAGGGTCTGTGCCCGGCCCCCAAGAATCCCACTTGGGACCCCCTGACTTTGGTGACCATCAGTCACTCATCTCAGGGGAGGGCCTGTCACAGTGCCTGGCAGGTCGGAGGCTGGGGACTACATGAACTAGGAAGAGCAATTTGGCAGGGACACCCCCATGAAGGGGAGTGACAGCAGGTTAACCCCCAGATTATGTTCTCCTCTCTCTCTGGGCTCCCGGAGGTGGTGTGAAACCCAACAAATTCAGACTTGAACCTGGTGACCACTCATCCTCTCTCTTCAGCCAGGTTGGGAACCATCCCCCCCACCCCCACCCGCTCTCATTGGCCACACCCTCATCGGCTACGCTGCTGAAGTGCTAGAAAATTCCTTTTCAATGTTGAGTCCCAGCCTGCCTTCCCGTTGTGATTAGCTTCGCGGACCCAGGATCTGCCTCTGGAGTGACCCGGACAGACCTGGTCTGCCTTCTCCTTGAGGACTGACCCACATTCCTCTCTTCCAGAACTGAACAGACACCATCTCTTCCACAATCCCTTGGAGGGGATGCTCTCCAGACCTTCTCCATCCTGCCTGCCTCACTGTGATGTGCCCACGTGACCCCTAAAACACTGCCATCAGCACAAGCTGGGACACATCAGCTGTGGTCTGCCACCCAGCAGCAATCGCCATAGCCCTTCTGGCTGCCGTTGGGTTTTCCAGCCTGCAGACACTCCAATGAGAAGAATCTGTGGGTATGTGCATAGGTGCACTTTTCTGGGAAGGAAGCCCGGAGCTTCCATGCGATTCTCTAAGGGCCTCCTTGCCAAAAGGAATTCAGCCATACTCTTCAACTATTTTCCTATGATCTCCTTCCAAGCCAGGTCCCCCTGCCCAGAACATGTGTAAATCACATTTAAATTTAAATGCAGGATCTTGTGTTTATTTCTTCCACAGTCGCTTCATTCACGTTAGCTTATTTGAGTTTTTAACGATGAATTTTAATCTCGATTTCTTTTTCACCTGGCCTGTGGAACATCCCTCTTTGGGTTGTATTGCTTACAAATTCCATAAGCATATTTTTTCGTTTGTTCTCATACAAGGTTTATTAAAATGTAGACCAGGACAGAGTCAAGAACAGGCCCATGGTACGCAAGTGCCCAAGGGAGCTACTGCCACGCCAACACCAATTAATTAATTAATGGGCACTTGGGCATTCCTGTTCAGTGAGCTGCAGGCCCACTTAGAATTACAGGCCATGCTTTTCCATGAGGATCACCAAAGACTGTTGTGCTTTCCTCCAATCACAATATGCTCTGTTTACACCTTGCCCTGCCCTCCCAACATAGCAGCAGAATAGTTTAATTTGTAGCAATTAGTCTAGGTGAATCCAAACTGGTGGTGAATCCAAGGTGGTCACCACCTTCTTTTCTAAGCAGCCACAGTGCCCTGCTTAGCCTGCATGCCCTACAAGTGCAGGTTGGCTAGAACTGATATTATCCGTGGATTTTCCTCCCATTTTGAGGTGTTAGGATTAAAGCTTCTCAAAGATTAAAGACAGAGGTCCTGAAACCATTTTGGCTTGAACCCATTACAAGCAGCAAAGCCCCAGGTCATATAGCCTCACCGGCTTGCCTATAACAGTTTCCTCTTTTTGATTCCTCCTTCGACCCTTTCGGTCCTGCCTGCCACTGTGTTTCCCTGGACGCTCCTCTGCAGAATGCCCTGTTCTGTGTTCCTCCTGGTCTCCAGGAAACTATTCATTCTTCAGGGTTTACCACATGTGCTCCCTGTTCTGGGAGGCCCCCAGACAACACCCTATCACTGGACAAGGGAGTGGATGTCATACTACACTTTAAAAAATATATATCTCCAGCACTTAGCCCAGGGCCTAACACACAGCCGGGATCAATAAATGTTTATTGAGTGAGTGAATGAGATCTTTAAGGCCGTTAACCCCAAACTGTCTCGTTCATGAAGCACTGCCCGCCTAACACACACCAAGTTTGTTCAGCGTTCTTGAAGCATTTTTGTAATGGTACCTAAGTAACATCTCCACTTTTGCTGCATGGCTTAGTTAAGGGGATGGATATATTGATTTGTGAACATATTATTTTAGGCTAAAATGTCATCTAGAACCAATACCCTATTTCCTATTTACTTTGACCCACACAAAGTTGATGTCCAGAACCTTTCTTGACCTCATTAGACATGCTTTTGAAAGGTGTGTAGGAAATGAATTGCAAATGCTCTGACATCCATGCTCACCCAAGATGCTCATCACCACCAGGATGGCGAACAGAAGCACTGCGATGGCCCCCAGCAGGAGACGTGTGGTGGTGTCTGAGGAGAGAGAAAGGGATTGATTATGGCCCATTCCCACTGCCAACCCCAAGTCCTGATACTGAGAAACTGGGGCTGAGCCCAGCACTCTGTGTTTGAACAAGCCCTCCAGGGCAGTGGTCCCCAACCTTTTTGGCACCAGGGACCGGTTTCATGAAAGACAGTTTTTCCATGAACTAAGGAAGAGGGGGAGGGATGGTCTGGGGATGATTCAAGTGAATGACATTTACTGTGCCCTTTATTTCTAATTTAATGCCAGTGCTGATCTGACAGGAGGTACCAGTTCACAGGCTGGAGGTTGGAAACCTCTGGTCCAGGCCATCCTGATGCTGAAGTCTGAAATGCCATTCTCAAGCACAGGTTTGTCTGATTCTGTGATACTTCTGCTTAAAACCCCTCCCTCAGGGCTACACACTTGAACTCTTTCTGTGGCTGTTAGCACTTTCCAGTCTCTCACATCCTGCTGCTTCTCTACCTCATCCCTAGTTTCAGCCCGACAGACTCCTTGAAATACCCCAGTTCATCCTCTCAGCCCTGTGGCTGGATCTTTGCTCCCAAAGTGCTCCTCTTCAACTGCTGTCTCTTGAAATTCTGCCCCACACCCTCCATCCTCTTCAGGAAGGCTTTCCTGATCCTCTGGCTTCTCCCTTTAACATTTTATTTATTTATTGTTCTCACCCCAAATTTTAATTGGATTTTTTAAATGTTCATAGCAGGGTTATTCACAACGGCACGAAAATGGAAACAAGCTAAATGTCTGTCAAAGGGAGAATGGATAAAATGTTGGGCATTCATTCAGTGGAATCCCACACAGCAATTTTTTAACTTTCTATTTATATTGGAGTGTAATTGATTAACAATGATGTGTTAGTTTCACGTGTATACAGCAAAGTGATTATATATATATATATATATATATATGTTCTTTTCCAAATTCTTTTCCCATTTAGGTTGTTACACAATATTGAACAGAGTTCCCTGTGCAATACAGTAGGTCTTGTTGGTTATTTTATGTATAGCAGTATGTACATGTCAACCCCAAACTCCCTTACCATCCCGCCCCTCAATCCTTCCCACTGATACTTCAAGTTCCTTCTCTAAATCTATGAGTCTGTTTCTATTTTGTAAATAAATTCATTTGTATCCTTTTGGTTTTTTTAGATTCCACATATAAATGATATCATACAATATTTGTACTTCTCTGTCTGACTTTACTTCACTCAGTATGATAATCTCTAGATCCATCCATGTTGCTGAAAATGGCATTTAATTTGATATTTAATGAAAGAACCCTTATAGACTTTAGACACAGGGTCTTTGAAAGTTTTATTAATTGTGATCAAATACACATAACATAAAAGTTGCTTTTTTAACTATGCTCAAGGGTGCAATGCATGGTGTTAATTACATTCACAAAGTTGTGCAGTCATCCCCATGATCTACTTGTAAAGCTTTTTCATCATCCCAAACAGAAACTCTACTGATCAAGCATTAACGCCTCATTACCAACCCCCTCCAGCCCCTGCTAATCTCTCATTCACTTTCTGACTCTATATATCCACCTGTCCTAAGTACCTCATGTAAATGGAATCATATCTGTCTTTTGGGGTCTGACTTCTTTCACTTAACATTGTTTTCAATGTTCATCCATATTGTAGCAAGTATCAAACTTTCCTTCCTTTTTGTGGCTGAATAATATTCCATTGTATGATTACATACATTTTGTTTATCCATCCATCCATTGACAGACAGTTGGACTGCTTCCATCTTTTAGTTATTATGAATCATCCTGCTGTGAACATTGGCCAACAAAGATCTGTTTGAGTCCCTGTTTTCAACTCTTTGGGGTATATACCTAGGAGTAGAATTGCTGGATCACATGGTAATTCCACATTTAACTCTTTGAGGACACACCAAACTGTTTTCCACAGCTGCAACACCATTTTGCATCCTACCAGTGATGCCGACACCACATGTTCTAATTTCTCCATCTCCTCACCAACACTTGTTAGCTTCCACTTTTGTTTGTATAGCCATCCTAGTGGATGTGAAAAGTGAAAGTGAAAGTCACTCAGTCGTGTCAGACTCTGTGCAACCCTATGGACTGTAGTCTGCCAGCCTCCTCTGTCCATAGAATTCTCCAGGCCAGAATACTGGAGTGGGTGGCTGGTCCCTTCTCCAGGGGATCGTCCCAACTCAGTGATAAAACCCAGGTCTCCCACACTGCAGGCAGATTCTTTACCATCTGAGCCACCAGTAATGAGAACTCCCTTTTTGTTTTTAAGTCCTTTAAAAATTTTTATGTTATATATGTGCATAGATGAAAGGACCACCTCCAGCCCACCACTGGGCTGTCCACCCAGATGAGCGAAGTACCAAAGTCAAGAGGAATATCTATTAATAGAAACCTCTACAGCAATTCAGCATTCGGGTGACATCCAAGTGCCTGATGCTGTTTCTAGTAATTCATCTGTATGGTACTTCACAACAGATTGGGAAAAAAAACCTGGTCCTTTATCAAGGATCTGCAAAGCAACAAATTCAAAGTCAAGAAATCTACCAGGCTTCACTAAACAACCAAAGAATCGCCCCTTCCATAGAGGCAACTACTTCCAATTCCTTCAGCGAACTCTTTCGGTATTTACCTCCAAATCTCTAAAAGCTTTGTGTCAAGAAGTCAATACTGCTCAACTTTTCTATTTAAGACATTACTTATTGACGTTCCACAGTAATGAGGAAGATTTAATTCTCTGCATTATTGTCCCACCCTGATCACTCACATACTACTTACCCTCTCAACATCATAGTTTGGGTTGGACTGATAATTTGGTGAGGGGTTTGTTTTTTGGGTTTTTTTGCCATGCCACACAGCTTGTGGGATCTTAGCTCTCCTGACCAGGGATGAAACCTGCGCCCCCTGCAGTGGAAGCAAGGAATCTTAACCATAGTACCACCAGGGAAGTCTCTGTTCTTTTCTTTTAACAATGTAAACGCTGCTCCCAGCAATCTCTGCAGTGTATTACGATCATTATTTCTACACAACTTCTTGTTTCCCTGTAATTAATCATTTTCCTTTGCCTACACTTCTGTGTGCTCATTCTTATTTCAATGCCGCAGCTCCTTTAAGCTGATGAGGCAAAATCAGGAATTCTACTCCACTTCTGTCTTAGTCTGCACAGGCTAACAAAACCCCTAGACTGGATGGCTGAAACAACAGACACTTCTCTCTCCCAGTTCTAGAGGCTGGCGAGTCCAGGATCAAGGTTACCAGCAGATCCATTCTTGGTCGGGGCTCCCATGGTGGGGTTAATGCCCTTCCAAAAAGAGGATAAGACACCAGAGCAGAGAGCGGAAGCCCTCATATCCACTTTGCCTTTTTGCTCTATTTCCTGAAGATTTTTTTAAACTTTATCTTCCCACTCTCTACTGAATCTTTTATTCTTATGATTATTTTTAGCTTCCAAGGTTTTCGGGGGTTTGTTACTGCTGTTCCCTGAATACTCCCTCCTAAAGCATACTGTTCTTATTTTAATGATGCAAAATTTTCTCTTCTCTCTCTGAATAATACTGACAGTTTTTTAGTTGATATTTTTGGGGGGAAGCAGGAAGGTTGGGGGAGAGGTGGGCAGAAAGTTTAGTCTGTTTAGTATAATCTCTGTTTTTTCCAAACTGCTTTCCCCCTCTGTTCGTGTGTTTTAATCTCTAGCTTCCATGTCAGGGACTTTCCTCATACATCTAGAGACCCTTGGTTATTTGTTCATGATTAAGGCAGGAGGAATAAGACTTTATTGGTGCCTTTGAGACTGTGAGAGGGATTTATTAACTGTGGAGGTCATGGCAGAGTGACCTGGCTGGGTTGGTCCTCAAGGCTCTCTCTTTAACACTTGATTTTATTTTTTTTAATATGTATTCATTTGACTGTGCCTGGTCCTAGTTGCGACCTGTGGGATCTTAGTTCCCCAACCAGGTATTGAACCTGGGCCCCCTGCCTCGGGAGCACCGGGTCTTAGCCACTGGACCACCAGGGAAGTCCAGCTCTCTGTTTGTGGATCTCCTTGAGTTTCTCCTTTCGGGTCAGCGTCTCTGGGGGCTGCCCCTCTGTTTTCACTTCTGCAGGATGTAGTCTTGGCTGGGAGAAGAGGCGAGGAGGCCATCCTCAGCCCTCAATCCGTAGATGCTGCCTGTTTGCTGTCAAATGTGCTGGTGTCTGGAGGCCCTCTCTCCCCAGAGCAGAGGGCTGGGGAGAGGCTCACAGAGTGGGAAGAGAATTGAGGACCTGAAGTCTTCCTAACAAGGGTTCACCCAGCCCTCCTGACATCCGCTCCCTCTTCACACCCTGCTGTGCCAACCAGTGTGGGGTCCTGCGTGCTCCGCTGCTTGCTGCACTTTCTAAGGCTGGGGGAGTCAGTGTCAGTTATTGATCATTGATCATCATCACTGATCATCATCATTGATCATCATTATTGATCCCTAGCACCCAACTGTGTTGCTATTGTTTTCTCTCCTGTTCTTGTTATTCTTGTGGTCTTTTTTTTTTTTAAAAAAAAAAAAAAAACCCTTTATTGGATTTTTAAAGGAAAGAAAAATGCATGTCTTCAGTCTGCCATCTTTACTTGCAAGTCCCTTTAGTGGGACTTCCCTGGCAGTCCAGTGGTTAAGACTCTGTGCTCCCACTGCAGGGGGCATGGATTCGATCCCTGGTCAGGGACCTAAGATTCTACATGCTGCAGTGACCCCCTCCCAAATAAAAGGAAAAAAAAAAAAAAGCCTTTTACTACTGTATTAGTGAGTTTCAGAAGGGAAAGAAAAATGCATGTGTTTAGTCTGCCATCTTTACTTGCAAGTCCAACAGACATTCGGGAGTGCCTCCTATGGGCATGGTTTGTACTGACCGAGCAGGATCCAGAGGCAGGTGGCTCCGGGCTCGGTAACAGCAGAGGGCTGAACCCCCTCTGTGTCGGCTCTGCCGTCCCCAGGGGCTGCGTGTTGTAAGGCTGATC